TTTTACATTCGGAAGCCGGCAACCCTGCCCAAGTTGTCAAGTCGACAGGTAATTCCTAACTTGCTCGAGTGTCCAACTCGGTTGAGTCACAGTCGTCTGGGGCGAGTTTCAGCATAGTGATGCGTCGCTTTGCCTTGTTTTCAGAGTACCGGCGAATCCAGGACAACAGTACAGAGGAGTCGGGGCCCAGCTGGTCCACGCTGAAGACCTCCGCACTCTCCAGCTGCGAGGAGGAGGGCGCCCACCGAGTCGGTAAGAGGGTAAGCTTACTGGCGGAGCTCTATCGCCGCGGACGACGCGCAATCGCCCGCTCCGGCCAATGATTGTCAGACGCTCGGTTTTAGCGTCGATGTAAACGGTCTGCATTTCACGGAGTGAAGTCGGCTTGCATTTCAATCGGCTACACAAGACACTTTTCGTGGTGCCATCAGCCGCAAAGTCGGTGAGCACCGAGACCTGTCGACGCCGTGCGCCGCTGGTAGCCCGTTGGCATTCCAGCGTGTTCGGGTTTCACGGAGCAATTCACTTACACTGGGCGTGTGCGGCATGATCGAAGGTCAGCCGCGCCGCCCTGTGCGGAGTACCGGCCCGCCTGGCTGACCTTCGGAGTCCCATCCCCTGTGCGGAGTACCGGCCCGCCTGGCTGACCTTCGGACCCTGTGCGGTGTTCAGAGTGTCGGGAGAGGACTTCCAGCTGCTCTTCGGAGGGCCTCGGCCACGCTCATTTATTTAAGAGGCGAAGGAATGGGTGCTTCGCTTAAATGAATGGACTTGTGAGTGACTGCGCAGCGGACATGGATGAGCTGGTTGGAAGAGAGAGAAGGCGAGGGGTCTTTTAGAGAGTGCGGTGAATGTGCGTGACGGATCGGGAGAGTGGGTGAATGACTGGTTCACGCCGGATGATTGAGGGAGTGAGCGAGTGAACGAATTACTGGTTGTCGCAGATGAGTGAGTGAGCAAATGACAGGTTGGTGCGGTTGACTGAAAGAGTGAGTGGGCGGATGAGCGAGCGTTGACCAAAATGCAGGTAATGAATGTGTGAATGAATGAATGTATGATCAAGCAGTAGCGATTTCGTAGACTAATTGCCAAAATTACTGAATGACTGTTTGCATGGGAGCTCATTCTCCACACCTCGTCAGAGCCGACGTCCGTCCCACCTCCCGTCTTCCGTTACAGAGGTCCTGCTCGAGTCGTATGGCCTGACAGGCGAGCTGGACACGTTGGACGAGGCTGTCCAGCTGTGCGGCGACGGCGCCTACCAGCTGGCCCAGGAGCAGCGCGACGTCCCCTGGAGCTTCATCGACTCCGTCTTCTTCTGCATGACGGTCGTCACAACCATCGGTGAGCTCCCTGAGGCATGCTCAATGAAGGACGAACGTAGATGTCAGCGGTCGAATGATGTTGATGTTAATGAACGAATGTTGATATTGATGTCCTCAATTGTTTGTAGCTTTGTGATTGTGTTCAAGGCAAGACACGCCTACATCCTCACCAGCATTGACCCGTGCGCTAAGTGTGCTTCTTTGCCATTTCAGATATCAATTTCTCAACACACAGATAAGGGCACTGGTACAAGGAGCGGCACACCTAGTATATTTGGTCTGAGGCTCCCCCTCTCCCTCCTCATAGCGTCGGTACACGTCATTCCGCATTCCTTGGGCAGCCGACGTCATTGACGACGGCAAGAACGACAGCCCGAACAGAACACGGGATGTTCAGATTCAAGGACAGTTTGGCTAATTTTACGCCCGTCACAGGCGGCAGGTCGGCTATTTAGGCTTCATAGGCTGCTGATGTACATAATCAGGCATGCAATGGCACAAGCAAAGTAGCTGCCGGGCCTAGACTATGAAAGTAAATTATTGATTGGCTATGCACATAAATAAAAACTATGCAATGAGATAAACAAAAGTGCAAGTCAAAATATAGAAAGAAGTCACGGATTAACTAAAAATGAGCCGTCACCTACTGCAACATGACCATGCAGGTCGAGGAAAAGTTATAGCTAGGGCCAGGTCAGGCTCACATTGTCTCGATGCAATGCATGCAGGTCATACTCTCAGGCTGCAATTTACTGTTTCAAACGCAATTTCGGCCAGCCACACACACACAAACACATCAATACAAACCCACGTGCAAATGAGAAGTACACGTTATCAACTTTGCACTCGGTGCTTTCGGGCATACCAAACGTTTCGCTGGACCCACGTCCGGCTTTTGTGGGCGGCTGCCTCAGCCGTGCATGGCCTGGCTGCGGCCACCTGAAACTGATGGACTTGAGAGGCGGCACGACGGTCCAGCGTGCGGGCGCAACCCGGTGTTGTGGGATCCGGCGTGTGGTCGCCAATCAGCCCCGCGGTGCGACCGGCACGTACCGGCGGCGGGGCGTGCTCAGAGCGTGCTGCGGGCGTGCTCGCCTCCCGTGCCGAGCGCCGGCCTTGTCACGGCACGTCCGGCACTGCCGCACGGCACCGTGACCCCGGCACCGTGACCCGGAGGACTGCTGCCGCCCGGGGCAGAGGACGGCGGTGCGGGCGAGACGCCGCCGCTCGCCAGGGGCAGCGCCGGAGTCCCTGTGCCATGTCCAGGCGGCGGAACGATGACAAATGCTTTAACGTGTGGTATGCACTGGGATTCAGGTTATGAAAAGAGACCGTAAAGTTGTTTTTTTCTGGAAGTTTTTATGACACCAGTCGCCAGGCCAGCCTTTTTCTGAGGCTTACGTAGGTTAAGGTATTTTTCCAGTAAGTTGCTTGTCAAAATGTAGGACGGGTAAAGACGTCCTTTGCACACTGCAGCATATTTAATAAAAGAAATGACCAATGCCCCGACATTGGCTCAATATTTCATAGTGGATGTCAGTTCGCCGCACAGCCTCTTTACAGATATGTCGAAATGGGTGCCGATAGCGCGGTGGGTAATCTACGAGTCTGGGAAACCAACGATACGAGGTTCGATATCTCGCGGCGCGCGCCCTTCCCGCCAGGGTAGGAGGCAGGCGACGCCATATCGCCCCGGTCACTGAGTTCGCTGCAAAGCTCCAATGACAGCTATACCAAATTCACCGGGCCACCATTCGAGCGTGACTGTTGTCAAAGGTCCTGGGATTACGAGCTCGTGAGCGCCACCCCGCCGGGATGCTTATCGCCCCACTAAGAATGAACAACTGGTCACATTGGGAAGGGATCTCAGTCTGACCCCGACGTCCGGCAGTCCAAACAGCAGAGTTCAGGAGCAGTTAGACGTAGTCTTCGTCGTGGGACGAGCGAAGGGAGAACAGATGCCATCATCACGTGGATGATACGTAATGACGCAGTCGAGAGACGTGAGAGAACGTGAGTTGTCGCCTTGAAGAACTTATTCTATACCTCGTCAACGTAAGTATTTCTTGAGTTGTTGAGTGCGTTTGCAAGGAACATTGTGCATATAGATAAGACTGTAGTAATAGCCTTATTCCTCGTATAAAAACGGGGATGGTGGATATATATATATATATATATATATATATATATTATATATATGCGTTGATATTACGGCTACACACCTTTATTGAAACTAAATGCATGTACTGATTTTCCCGTTTCGATAAAGACATAGAGGCGAAATATCAACGTATCTATCTCGCCATTCTTCTGTTTTTTTGTGAGGAATGAGATTATTCCAAAGACCTCGTCTTTAAAGTGCTCCTCTACCATCACCTGGAAGTAGCGCATGCGGGGACACGAGACAACCGACGGCAGCAGACGGGCGCTGCCAACTGCTCTGGTGGCCACTGTGCCCCGTTGCATTTCACAATGCCAGAATACAACCGTGCTCTCACAAAACGAGTGTGTGCAACCACCGAAATTAAGTAACGACATGAGGCCAACAAAACTTACTTAATCACAAATGAAAACCATCTAAATGGAGTGTCAATACGTGCAGTAAAATTTCAGTAAGTGATATCAGCAGGCAAAGGCACACTTATGCTTGGCACCCGCGCCCACCTTCACCAGCTATTGCTTAAAACATGGCAGGCTCTTAGCCTGACAAAACCGATAATCGACGAAATAACGGAAGTTGGAACTGTTTACTCGCTCGTTGGTCGTGATCATAGTGTTGTGAAACACGCAAATATCGTGCAAGGAGATCGGTCATGACAAGTTGCACCACACGCCTTTTCAGTTTCCAAGCCCGATATTTCTTGCCTTGGACCTCACCGTGACACATTCGACTCTGGGTTTGGAGACGAGGACGTTGACCGCCACCACCGTCGCACCGACGGGGTCGACGTGTGCCGAAATTGCTCTGTGACTTGTAGGTGGTACATCTGCCGACATGATTTCGCGTCGTAATCATCTCTAGGTACTGAAATCTGACATCGATCCCTAAAACGGTCTTAAAGTGGCGGATCCATGATTTTCGCACACTAACGCCTGGCAGTTTGTCAACATCGACCCAGATCTTTGGCAGTCCGATCGTCCGCTGTGCATTTTTCAGAATGCGGTGGCTTGATGTGTTTACGCCGCCCGTTCGTCGACATCTGGACCTGGCTTCGATCAAACTGTAAATTTTCCGTTTTCCATGCCAATCGAATGGGGAAGATGGAATTATAGTGATAAGGCAACGTTGCAAGGGAACGCCGCCTGGCCAGTCAGTACGAATGCAAATTCCTGGAAAATATTGCGAGACTGCTTTTGAATCAGTGTATTTCTCGTTACTGACATTGCACCGCGCATCGGGATGCATGATGCAGATGCGTAGGTTACGAACGGTCCCCGCGCAAGCGAGCGGACGCAAAGGTTACAGATACAAACCCATCGAAGGTGTGCCTACCCAGAGCTAGCCAGCGGCCGCCGAGGCTGTACCACTTCCGTTCGGTTCCGCCCGACCCGTGGCCTCGCTCATAGTAACAGCCCATTCAGGATGTTAGTTCCAGCTACCAATGGTTCTTTCCCTTTAAGCAGGGCGCCAAATTGTAACACATACTCCATAAACATTGCTGTGAAAGATCAGTCGGACATGAACCTTGGACATCGCCAAAATCCTTCAAGATGTGCTATGGATGGCCAGATTTCGTCGGCTGGGGATCGATTACACTGCTGTCATGTGCGCCAGACTAGATGCAGTCGTCTAACGGCGGAAGCAGACAAGCCTATCCGTCTTATGATGAACACTGGCATCCAGACAAACCCTGGAGCCCAGAATATTGCAATCTACGAGGCCGAGATAAGCCAATGCACCAATTCTAAAGCAGAGGCGGATGCAGAAAAGACATCGGGGAGGGGAACACTTCGTCTTTTTTCGGAACGGTCTACATCGGTTACGTGCGTGAAATAACTTCTTATGCGATTGCAGGTCTAGAAATTCGAGGATGCGAAGGAGCCATTTACGGCCACTTCTGTCTCTACTACTCTGATATCGGTTCCCGTCCTATCGTTGCTCGTGCAAGTATTTGATCTTTACGTGCAGCGCCCAGGGTTATCCATCTTGTGGGTAATTGGTTGACACTGTTGCTTGGATGATTTTATATCCTCCAATGGTCAACGGGACAAGTGGAAAATCTATAATTACGGGACCAAAGCGGCCTTGGTAATGGCTTTTCGGTGTTCGCTCCACCATGCTAATAAATAGATAAACCAACTCTCGCCATCCCAGGCTTGACCCGGCGAATGGCTGCCATTCCGTATCTGTCTGCGACCGCGCCTGTTCTCTGTACGCGTGACGTAATTAGCGCTCGGGAGGAGCGGCCACAGCACGCCATGGCCGCGGCACTCGGCCAATGCCACGCGCCTACAGACCAGCGCGCTGCCTGCCCATTGCAGCCGCCTCTCTCGGGATGCGGGAGGACGTGCGGGGGGCCTGGCCGCCGGGTCAGTGCGGTCGTGATCCTGTGCTGCTGAGGGTCTGCCCTCGAGACACTGCGAGGCCTGTTGCACACATTAGGACATAAATGGTCCGTACAGTGTCAAACACGTGATGAGAGGGGGCTATTTCACCGGAGAAGATGAGCGCCACAGAGCTTCAATACAACGCATCACAATTTTCCACACATGCAGAGACTCACACAAACCCAACGACCGTCGCCAGTAACCTTAACGCTAAGGCTAAGGTCAAGGCGCAGGGGTGAGGTTGTGCGCGCATCTCGGGTTACGTCACGCGGGGTGTTCACCTTGCGTGGGATGCGCCGTTGCATGTCATCCCTCACTTTGCGCGTCATATACGTCCCTCCAACTGTGAGAGGCCCGCACAACTTACGGCCAGCCTCACGGAATACTTGTCTCGGCTCACCTGGGACGGCTCCGGCACAGCGATCTCGGCGACTCAGCTGAGTGTAATACCAGCTTTTGTGCAAGCGGGGTAATCTCCATTCCTTGAAAACGCTTTGATAGCTAGCGCCAGCTGACGGTTGGGCGGTTACTAAGAATAAGACACACAAGTTGTTGCTATTGGCACTCAAAACAGGCTTGATGACTGTAGTGCCGAATTTCATTCAGTGCTACTAAACATCTGTTATCAATACTCAAATTAGTTCTCATTTAATCTGTCGGATGCCATTTAAAAAACGTTTGTCGATTCCGCGGTTCTTTATGTGGGCCTACGAACTGATGCAACGTCTGACAGCTGGGGCATCAACGTTTTACAACATCCACGTATTACTGAGCTTAGCTTTATGCAGCTCACGGGCAGAATGGATCCCGCAGACGGAGTGATGACGACAGCGCAATCTCACAGACTGTGCGTTCAAACTCACCAATCTGTGACGACATCACCCGAAGAGCTCGGTGGAGCCGCGTGTCATCCGCGGTGGCTCTTCTCTGCCGACCACAGGGATCTGTATCTGCAGGCACCATCGCCCCGCAGCGAGATGCAGCATTGCGCTCCGTACTCACGCTCAGCACTAACGCCAGATAATATCCCACCCCACCGGGCACACTTAGCTAAGCTGTGGTCAAATGACAGGATACGATCGTATCCTGTCACGACTGAGGCGTTTGCCTAGAAAAAAATCCGTTCCGCCTAGGTCCGCTTAGAGCAGAAAAATCGAGAGCGTACAGTCACGTGTCTGCCGTTGCATGCCGAGAATGGCCTCACAGAACATACACGCGTCCACACCCTGCGCCAGATCATGGGCTCCGCCTCGGCCTGCCTCACCGACGCTGAGCTCGAGTGAGCGAACCTCGTCCAGGCAGGGAGTCCATCTCCCACGGCGTCATGAACTTCCGCTGATGCTCACCGAAGCGAGCACGAGCATCACCCAGCAAGTGGTCCAACGCTGGAAAACAGCTCCACTCGGAAGCAGCCTCCGACCGCGTCAGCCTCAAAAGTGAAGGACGTGGCTGCGCCGCGGGGTGTGCTTCGCCAATCTGCGACACGCGAACGGCTTATTTTCACACCTGCTACTGCTTTCATACATACCTCTGCCTCTGAGAAGATGTTGGAGAATTTTGCATCGCTGGATCCGAGCCTCTCCAGCTCTTCCACGACTTCGTTGATAAGGTGCATGGTTGTGACCAGGTCAGCACCATTCCCTTGCAGAGCTCTGCACAGCGGCAGTAGCCGGCCGGACAGCTTCAGCAGAACATGTAGGCTGAACATCAGTTTCGGATGTCCGCAGTCCTGTCCGATGTAAAGCAGCTCCAGAGCTTACCCATCCATCTTGCCACTCAGTCACCTCCTGTAGGGCTGCGGTAATGGCGGGCAACTGTTCCACGAACCTCTCTATTGCAGTATGCCTCTCCACGAACCTCGTGGGGCAACATCTCCAGCTGCTTGAGCTGACATAGAGCCCGACTTCAGTCTGCGCGCGACGCAAAGCCTCGCACCGTTTCGCTTCACCAGTCACAAACGTCACCGTGACTTCAAGAACGCCGAGAGCGTTTCTGATACCCGTCCTTGGTCATCTTAGATGTCGCCAAGCTGACAACACCGTGGGAGGCGTAGTAAAGGTAATTCGCTTCTAAGGCGATACTCTTTATTTCTGGTACGACCTCCCATGCCCTCTCTAGACATAAAAAGCTGGTCCTTTGTAAGACTGAGCAGCAAGCGACTCCGACGCAGGTTTAATTCTGATGCTCTCTTCAGTACAATTTATCCGAAGTTAGCCCCGCTCGTTCTCTTCTCACCATCGACATCCGTTTCATCACCGAGAACATCCAAGAGGGCCACAGGGTCCTCCCAGAAAACCACGCCATGCCCCTGTCTCAGCTACGTAGCGAACACTGAAAGCGCCACCATCTCCCTGCTGGTGTGATCTGTGGTCTCGTCTGCACTGATGCCCCAACTGGGAGACTTGTGGCAGCGCAGCACAGCGAGTTCCTTGAAAATGTTGCTGTATTCTTGCAAAACCTCATTTTGCGTCGCCTTTGACGCACACGTCGCGTTTCCCGGAGTCATTTTGAGGTGCTGTGCTAAATCTTTGTCCCCGGCATGAGTTTTGAACCACACGACCATGCAAAAACTGCCATCATTTTTCTCTGGGAAAGCTCCTGACGGATCAATCCTACCAACATCTCGGTGGCCCCGAAGGGCAAAGTTTTGCAGGGCAGCAAGCTCAACGGTGTCTACGACCGAAGACAGCGCAGGCCCGGTCCACGGCGCCTCGCTTCTCATGGCAGCATCGGCCTGTATGAAGACCTGTTCTACGTTCCTGCCCTTGACAGAAACTCCCCGGCGCGAACGCCGCTGTCCTTTTGGTAGCCACGCTCATTGTGCAGGCTCAGATCGCATCTAGCGTCCGTCTGGCTCTTGAAACACTTCAGAGAGTGATGGACTAACTTGCCCATCACTTGGCCGCTGTTGCCACGTCCTTCGCCCTCCCCACTTAACCAAGCAGCTGACAGATGGAGTGCCAGAACCCGGTCTTTTCTGTGTGCCGTGAAATAGCAGGCCACTTGCATTGCTCGATAAGTTCCTTGTTGCATTTCCTTGGGCAAAGAACTTTGTCAACCACGTGCCGACATGCCGGGAAACCCTGGCAAAGGGCAGGAGCCCATCTGCTTTGCAATCCATCACGACGATCGACGCCAAATCCGACCACTTCGATGCCAACCTGCTAATATCCTTTTGGTCAGCTTCCTCGGAGCATCCTGGAGGTCATATCTGTAGATCGATGATTGACCGGCAATGTTAGTAGCACCATTCTTCGTCTCAGGGGCTTCAAGGTTCTTGACTTGCCCGGCCTTAGATAACGTGCGGGATCGCAGTTGGTGACTTACTCCCAGCTGCAGGTGACAACGCACCAAAAAGTTGAACAAAAACCTGCGTACTTTTCCCCGCCTGCCCTGAACAGAAGTGCCTGGCGACTCTTTCCTTTTTTCCACCGTTGCTTGGATGTTATGAAAAGGTCACAAAGAAGATCAGGAGTAACGTGCGGTCCGAGAGGAGACAGCAAAGTCACAAGACGATCTATCTGTATTTATTGATAGGCAAGGCAGGGTACGATGGGAGGAAGGGGAGGGCTTGACCGGATGTTAACACAGAACAGCCAAACCTCGCTGTTTATTCAATATTGTATTTGTGAATCATTTTATCTATGCCCGACACCGTACTAAACAAAGTCTTATTTCACAATGACATCCCATTAAGTCCTCCCTCCCAAATTAGGTACAATGTGAACTGTTACTTTTGGGCCCACAGCGCGCAATGCGGCGGCTGAAAAGGCCCCCCGGGCTTCATGCTGGCTTGATTGGATGGGTTTCGGGGTTTTGTCAGCTGTTTGCGTGGGCAGTGTGTTGTATGTTTTGTGGACTACTTTTCTCACGCCCAATGTACAAGTAAATCGCACACTCTGTGCAAATCACTAGACTACACTTAAGTGTGGCTGACCATTGGGAACGTGGCTCATGAGCACAGCTTCAAGCTCATCACTTAAGCGTAAAAAAAACAAGGTTGAGGTACCTGAAACTGTGATTTTGGCTCCATATGGCCAGTGGGTTCAAAACTTTGATCGACTTTCGCAAGATTTCTTAAAAATTATCTTACAGGGCAGCTGTGAGCTTTGATATTTGCATTACAGGAAGTCAGACCTTTCAGAGGTGGCAGTTGCACTCCCCAATCCCACACAATGCATTTCCAGCAAACCCTCCCCTCACCCTAGTCTGTCCACACACAGGAAGTTAATTCGGGATCAGTTCGATTCGCGTCAAGTGGGTCAAAATGTCCCACACTTTATCAAACACAGCTAACTCATGACATCCAAACATGAAATGTGCCGTTTCCACCATCTCGGTTTGAAGTGCCGCAACAGTCTATTTTGTGTTCGTTCCGCCTTCCTAAGTATGACTTCACCGCATATGGACGGAAATCAGAAACGGGTAGCTTACTGTGGATGGACTTTAAGCAACTAATCTGCCTCTATTCCGTTTCCCTCCTGTTTCATACGATCAACATTTCAAGAATGATAGTTTAACAATCAGATCAGCTTGCAGCATCTTAAGATAGTTTCATACTGTCGATAGAGAGCAGATCTATGACCTTCCATTTCGACTCCCCGCCCCTTTTATGGCATGCGTTGCGCGCCACGCTCCCGTACCAGACGGGTCCGCGACTACTGGACCTAATACCAATGAGGCTGACTTAAATGTTCCGGTGAAATTACCTTCACATTGTTCCCCTTCTTAATCTTTACCGTGCTTCTCTTTACCCCCCCCCCCCCCCCATCAGCCAACGTATGCCATGGGTTGGGCCGACCAGTTTTGTAGTCCTCGGTGATGTGCAATAAGTTGAAGTGACCAGGAAATAGTGCAAAAAGTTGTTTAAATTGCCGCCGTGACCCAAACAGATCTAACAACCTTGCTAGTTAAAACATTATACAGAAATAGAAAAAAAACAGGTGATTAGGAAAAAAGACACCCGGCGCAAATAGCACACAATGAGGCGCTTCACCACATGAACAGTGAAAAACAGTTGGGGAAAAATATTCCCCAACCTAAAATAACGCAGAAAGGCGTCGACCAGAGCAGCAAATAGCAGACTGAAACCGCTTATTAAAAACTGGAACATTGCCTTTGTGCACCAGTGTGTCGACCAGTGCGCGACATAAGCCAAGGTTGAGGAAAACGTGACCAGCGCGATTGGTTTGTAAAGATGCTGGCCAAAACAGCGAGGTAACATGGACATTAAGCTAAAGCTCTGGGAGGGGCAAACATAGTTTTTCCCGGGCGACTTTAGCTTGGAAAGGGCAGCTGCCCATTTTGCTCGCGCCCCCGCCTTGGGTCCTCCTAAGGTTCTAGTTGTTGGTATATAATATTTCAATAGTTGGTACTAAATATTTCACAAAGTGCATTTAACTGACGCGTGGTCCATCGCCAGGGTATGGCCACATTTCGCCGTCGTCGCCGGGCGGCCAGATCTTCTGCATCGTGTACTCGCTGCTCGGTATCCCGACGAGCGGCCTGCTGCTGGCCGGCCTCTCCGACTTCTTCTTCGCCGGCAACCTGCTCAACTTCTACGACTTCCAAATGGCAGCGGCGATACGGCGACTCGAGGTACTGCCGCCCCCGGCCGGGCGCGCCGCGAAGCATGTCAACGATCCTGACCCACTCCGCCCGGCGATTTGCGAGCGGCGTCGCTGCCCGACGATCGCTCGTCGGTTTCGACGATGCCGGCCACAGCCGTCCCGGCCACATGCTCCAGCGACGCCGGGCCTAGCGGCGGCGGCCGGGAAGCCTGATGTATGGCGTTGCTGGCGACGGCTGCAGGTTTTTGCTCAGTTCGTCCTTGCTGAAACTGGGTCATTGGGCGGATACTAGAGTTGTTCCGGCCAGTGCCGGAAATTGCAGGACATTGAGGCATCGGTCTCGGGACTCCGTGATTTGTAGAGCCCGTCAAGCTTGTCTGACGATTTGTCTCCATCGGGTAGTTTCTGAACACCCACGAAGAGCATCTCTGAGCTTTGCATATTGGAACTGTCGTCATGCATGCAGTATCACGCAGTTCCCTTCTCGCCGAAAGGAGGCTGCTCGCGCGCGCTCGGTGCTGTTTCTTTTAAACATGAGGCAGCCAGCAAAGTGCTGGCTGTCTTATGCATAAAAAAGCAAGTTCCTTCTCTAAAAACGCAGGTTTCCTCACTAAGCTACTCTCCACGCGTTGGACACGAGTTTTTTTTTATTTTACTGCTTTGCACTTCAGCGCAACCGCTCAGCACGTTAGACACCCATATGTGGCTTTATCCCGTCGTCCTATGTTTCAGCCCAATCATTCGCTGTGTCCAGGATGGTGTATTACGCTAAATGCTTTGGATCAGCACAACATATTTCGGTAACTGTTGACCTGCATATTCACCGCTGAGTATGGTTTACTACAAGTGTTAATTCACCTTTTAACGATTTCCCTTAGTGTTAGAGTCGTCGGCCTAGATACATGACGCTATAATTTCTCCAAACATTTTGCTATCTTTTGGACACTGTCCGCTGGTGGCATTCTTGTCACCAGCTCCGACAATGCCAGATATGACACTGTTCCATTGGGGCGACTGGACTGTAACTTGCGAGTGTTGCATCACTTCTCTCTGAAGCGCTCAGCCTGATCACGCGTGAGGCCGCACGACGAACCGGTCTTGGTCCAATCCAGCTTCCGAGAAATGCTCCGTCCTCAGCGGCCTGACCATGCACTGAGCCCTGCTTACAACGTGCCATTTTTACTTCATGCCGCCTATGTTAGATTTTTGCTGTTCTCAGCAGGAGTATTACGTTGCGCGATATCTCCAGGTGGTGGGTGTTTGCGTTTCGCTATGCTACCACCGGTCATAAATTTTCCTGCAGCGTGACAGAACCTCTCATGAGGCCTCAACGCACAACGCAATTATTTCTTGGAAGAAATGCCGCGTGAAAAATGGACAAAAGCTCCCTTTACCATAAGTCTAGCTACAAAAGCTCAGCAAGTTGCATGACCTCATTACCCAACTGACGTGCGCGCTTCAGTTTGTGTAGTCAGCAGAGGTCCCTGGATTGACGCCTTCGGAAATCCGCTCTGACACAGAGAAAGTCTGCTGTGACACAGAGCGGACTTCCGAGCGTTCTTGGCTACTGGGTGTTTGGTGCTGAAACTTCCCGCGAAAGACGTTTAAGAGCGTATGTGTTCACTGGGATCATCGGGTCCAGCGATAACTGTCGTCCCCCGCATTTACCTTTACTTTTACCATACGCGTTTTAACACCAGCACGCATGCGAGAACGCTTTCCATAAAAAATGCACTCCGCTCGTCATCTGAACAACGGCGGGTTTTTTGTTTCATGATAGCCTAGAACTTGTGAAATGGAAACTGGCGTCGAGCTTTTAAGATAAAGCGGTGGAAGCGGGTGAAATCCCGCTTGTAACATGCGTTTCGTTTCCATCGTTAGTTGCAAATGCAGACAGTCTTGCCGTTTTGCACCCAGTGCTAGCTTTTTGCTCGATATGCAGTCCTGCCTTGTAGAACAAAGGGCACTGCTCCCCACCCAGCCTGTGATGTTGATGTGTTTGCTGGAGTTGCACGGCGTTCATTTGCCACCCGTCCGTGTGTGCCGTGCAGATGGAGCCTGGCAGCCTTCACCGCCATCTACCTGCTCGTGGGCTTCCTGCTGTTTTGTTTTTGTGCCGGCCATCGTGTTCTCGTGGCTGGAAGACTGGAACTACCGCGAGGCCGTCTACTACGCCTTCATCACACTCTCCACCATCGGCTTTCGGAGACTACACAGCAGGTTCGAAACATCGCTTGGAAGCTAAGTGCGGAGGGGGGTCCTTCTCGTCGTTGAAGACCGTCGCTAATAGACGACTGCGGCGAATCGGATGCGGGCCTGCCAGCATCGAACACGCCTTTTACAATAACAATGTGTAGCGTAGTAACGGAGTGGTTTCGTAACCTGCTCGATCCGTTCCCATAAATGCAAACGCGCCATAGACGTTTTCCAGCATGCTGAAGACAAACGTCTCGCAAACCAAGCAGTGCACTGGCACACGGCACGGTTCCCCACGCGCGATTTTCCCCGCGCGGTGTGTGTCCCGAGAGCGGCGGCGCGCGGGTGGACCCCAGAGGAGCGTCGTCCCGTCACCCTGATACCACACGGGCGGGCCCGCAGGCACGGGAGTGGGGGAGGGGCATGGGCTGACCTTCGCCGTCCCGGCGAGACCACAGGCGGTTGTGGTGCGGCAACTACTGACTCTCAGGCACTTGCGGTCATGCTTGGCAGATGCACACTGTGCATATGAATACAGCTTCGATACTCCCAAACGGCGCCATATGCCGCTTGAATAGAATCAGTCTGTCCAAACAGCTGTGCTCTTGATCCGCATCGATTACAGCGAGCCCAGCTTAATCATAGTGCGCTCGTGGTATGTGGGCTGTAAGGGCACGTGCAAGTGTTTTCTCCCCCTGAAACATCACCCCACCAGCAGCGTGAACGGCTGCCTGGTGCAAAGGACAATCCATTTGAAATTGGCACGCGCCACGGCACGGGCGAGCATATGCTTCACAACTTGTGACGCGATAGGCTTGGGGTGGAAGCAGTCAATCCAGTTTGTACTACCGTATGATTATCGATGGAATTGAAGAGGACAGGCTCGTCGATAACGCTACCCGGCAGACATTGTAATTTTGCTTTCCAATATCAACTTCGATTAAAATTCATGAAATCCGGATTGCGAACGAGCTGAAACACCGCTTGAACCTGCCTGTTGTGAAAGTGCCTCTTTCCAAAGCACCTGGCGTTATTTCTCACGCGGAGACCCTTTCCCATGCGGGGACAGGCCCGACCAATGCTCCGCATCTCACTCTCGGTCATGTCGTCGTTCATGGCGCGACAGCTGACGCCCAGCAGCTGCGCCTACAGTCTCTGACATAACGTCCTGTCCGCTTGGCAGCGGTCGCCGCCGACGACGCCTGGACGACGGTGTACAAGGTGTTCGTTATGGTCTGGATCCTGGTCGGGCTTGGCTACTGGGTGTTGGTGCTCAACTTCCTGCAGAAGACGCTCAAGTCGAAGGAGGTGATGAAGACGCTGAGTCGACCTCACGGCTGATCGCGCGCGAGGCCGAGGAGCTGCGCCACGTCCTCTCGGACGTCGGCCTGATCCACCGGGACGCTGTCTTCATCCCGGAGCACTCTAAGACGGCGCTGAACCTGATGCTCAGCATGAGCAACACGCTGGCGGGCACGTCCCACGCGGGCAGCCCGGGCGAAGCCCCGCCCCGCTGGTGTGCGCGGCATTCACTCGATCGGCGACAACCTGCGCAGCCAGAGCTTGCTGGCGGCGCTGATGGCCTCCATGCCGCCACCGGCCGTCACCGCCGCCGGCCGCGAGGAGCCCGAGGAGGGCATGGTGAACCTCGGCTACCTCTCGGACGGCACGCCGAGCGGGGTGGTGGCGCCGGCGACCGACGCGCGCGCGGAGGAGGCACTCGCCGACGCGCGCGTGGAGGAGGTGGCCGTGGACGTAACAGTGCTGGGGGAGGTTGGAGAGTGGACAGGAGCGGGTTCGAGGTGGAAGCGGGCGGGGTTGGATGTGGCGGGGGGCGAAGACGAAGGGGGCGGAGATGGAGGAGGCGGAGGCGGGCCGGGGTGGAGGCGTTGGGAGCGGAGACGGCGGGGGGCGGCTGGCAGAGACCGCGACCTTGCAGGCAGCGTTCGAGGAGACGGCAGAGGGGGCAACGAAGACGGAGAGGGCGGCGGCTGAGCAGACCATGGCGACAGCACCGCCCCCCCCCCCCCCGTCAGCGTAGACACTTCGCCCTCGTCACTCCTCCCTTTAGTTGGGATGTCAAGTGGACCTGGGCCGCAGCACCCTCGCACATGGTGCACTGTTGTGGTGCTGCACATTTTATATACTGATATTGTTGGATGCGACAGACGCCGGTGTCTGGCTAGACTTCGCGTGTTACACTCGTTAGTGCTGTGTTAGCCGGTGGGGTAAGCTACGTTTACGAGGCTTAAAGGGCCTTTCCAAGGGTCAATCAGATGACCTGATTACCTGACAGAAAGCATTCCAACTGTTCGAACGCTGCTGTAAAACTAAACCTCGGACAGATGTCCATGCCGGAACAATCGCACAGGCCCACATGGCCTGTGGAACCATAAGTTGCTAGTTGCGGTGAGTTTCAAACAGATACGCACGAGAATGGGTTACCGGATTCTAAATCGTTTTGAGTGGCATTTTTGGCATTCCTGCAGTTGCGGAAACATGGCTGGAGAATGAGAAGGATTCCTCCGCTACAGTGAACAAGTCGTGGCAATACTTTGCGTTATTTCCTGTATAGTTTGGTCTTGTTTCATTGCATCGGTGATCCTATAAGGGCTGCTGAAATGGGTTTAGGGGTGTGTGCCGTCCAAATCACGCAGCCATCGTTTCGCCATAGCTCTACGCTTTTTCTTTTTTGCAGCCGTTAATTAATATCTGTAATGGGCAATCTTGGAGCATACACAACATTTAAGCGAGATATTCATCGTGGTCCTCTCGCAGCTGTGCGCGAGGACTTCACTTCGGCCTCGCTCAAAATTGGTATACAAGTTGGCGTGGTGAAACGACAAAGCTTACTGCAAACATCGACAAGCAGACCATTGGTTTACCTGGATTGTGGTGGTTAGAACGTACCGCGCCAGTTATGGCTATGCAGGACGTCACTAGAAGTGAGTGTTTATTTTTTAAATAGCGGACGGTACTAAGCCATTTAACGAGAAGTGAACTGATGGAAGTTTTAGCATGCACGTTACTAGACCGCGTGATATGCTACTTGTCTATAACTACTTCGTTAACACAACTTCGTATAAAACTGAGTGACGAAGTAAACGATATTTTCCTAAAGCTGAAGTGTGGAAAGGCTACTATGCGAAACGCCATAAGAAAGACATTCAAACCATGGCGAGACGTTAAATTGAATTCGTGTGATAATTACCTCATCCTGGCATAGTTTTTTTCCTCAAGACAATGTTTCAACCTCTCGTACCACTAATTGCAACGCATTTTGGTCTACTGACGTGTGGCGAAGATAACGCTACATGTATATTTGAAAAAGCAAGGCAAATGAAAAAAATACCGCTTCATAGCAGGTGATTAGCAGGAGATACAAGCTCTTACAATCTCTTACAATCAATCTCTACAATCTCTATCTCAATCTCTTTCGTCTCTTTTCGCACAATCTCTTTCGTCGCGGCAGGTTACTGCAAGTTGAGTTTTCGAGAACCTGAAAGAATTTCACCAGAGCTGATGCTACCGACCAAACCGGCCCCGTCTGATCTAATTACATGTGATAAGTACAAAAAGGTGGCATACTCCTTTCAGCAAGCGACCGCATGCGTTCGACTTGACCACTCGATCGCTGGCCACCGTCTTCATACCCTCCGTCAGTCTCACCAGCGCCTCAGGGATAATCAAGTTGTTGAGGTCGATTTAGTAACACGGGTAAGCCGAGCCATTTTGACGTCATCGGATGGCCTCGGGCATGGCTTGACATGCAGGCGACTACCGTCGCTTTACGCAGCCCGGAAGACAAAGCTTCGGGCCATCTCAGTGCGCATCCTCGGCAGTCCTAAAAAGGCTATCGGTGGTTCCACGCTTGACACTGTTTGTCACTGCATCGCGGTACAGCGCAAGCTCTTCCAGAGCTATCAGTGAGCGAGACGTATAAGATGAAGCTTTGGCTACTTTTACGTTTTACCAACTCCAAGTTTCAATGGCTGGATTATTTACGGGTCGTCTTGCACGCTTAAACCGACACCACTCCTCCCGCTGGGAAGCACGGGGCCGAACCACTGCTCATGCCAATGACGCGGAAGACATTACGACGCTTTCCACACAGTTGGCTCACAACGAGATGCTGGGTAGCGCGCCTGCACGGTTGTAGGACTCGAGGTATGCGGACGACTTGAGTGTGCCACTGAATTAATGCATGAGTAACAGCCATGTGGTGGCTGCACGACGCTGAACTATACCCGAGAGCACGGCGCGAAGAAGATCACGGACTCAAAACGCAATACTACCGAAGGCGGCTCAGGGAGCTGGATGAAAGGACAACGTCTGTCGATCCAGCAGCAAGCAGCCGTTGTCCAGTTTGTGGTCTGCAGTCCGGGAGCGGGAGGGGGAGGGGGGGGGGGGGGAAGGGGGACATGGACAACTCACTTTTCGTCAAAATGGGGAGCATTGCACCTGAGAAACACTTTTCAACTTCTGTCGTGTTTAGGAGGTGGTCGCAGGAGATTCCGACCTACTTCGGATGTTCATCATGGCACGACGCTAACAATTTCTGATTGGTTTTAGTTTCCCGCACCGGATACGGTGTCGGGATAATGCGGGCTTCATGTGTAATTCCATGGGGCTGGATATGACAGGTACAGCAGCATATAGACTACTTGGAAGCTTGTAGCAACGATTTTTGAGATAAAATGTTCACGAGGGCCTTTCCAATAACTGGAGGCATCTCAAAACAGATCCGGTTTCTCCGTGTGAGGTGTTTTCAGCCCCCAACTCGCCCAGTACCAATAGTTAAGACGAACAAGCATGTCTGAAACAAACCCGGATAAATTACACACAAATGTATAGCTTGATCTACCATTGTCGACAAATGCAGAACGTTCTTTCAACCGTGTTGATACTAAATGTGCCACGTTGGGAGAAGGCTTACCACAACAAGGACCCAGACATGATTATATGTTAAACCCTCCCGCATCTTGGGAAAATATACCACCTCCCATGTCTTGGAAAACATACGTAAAACCATTCAATAACTTTACACGTCATATAGGTGAGCAGCGCTCATGAATCAACCAGAATTGGCTGCTTTTATCTAGGAATTTTTTTAGTCGCTGAGCACTGATGCATCTGAAATGGGCCTGGAGCTAGCTTTTTTCGTGACCTTTTAAGCCTTGAGTCCAAACCTTTGATTGGACGGATCTCCGGGATCAGAACCACAGCTAAGCGGCGCTTGTTGCGTGGACTCTAACTCCAACCCCGATAGGGAAATTTAAACCCACCGGAGCAATTTTAGGGCGAAAAATTGAATGTCACGTGACATGACGCTCGACATAGCCTTCATATCGCTAACGTCAGCTGCCCTTCAGCGCGGCCGCTCCCACCAGCCGCAGGTCATCCCAGTCAGGGGCAAATGACGACCGTTTATAGCAGCTTAAACCTACGCCACCAGGGGGGGGGGGGGGGCGACGAATCCGAGGACGACCCACCTAACCAACTGAGCTACCGGAAAACACCTGCCCTTGTCTCAGCCCGGTACCAGGACACAGCCGCTTACCATGCCAAGCGCGGATGACACGGCCACTGTACTGTCCCCAGAGCTTATCTCTCATGGACGGGAATGAGAGTGCCGACTGAACATGAGCCATGTTGGACGTGCACAGATTTAATCGGTGGTATACCGCGGGCATCGCGCATGCGCCACCAGACGACGCCTCGCGTCAGGCGGCGACTCCCGAAATATCGCTAACAAATCGCTGCCTGGGCAATATCCAGCATTTAAGACGCTGCAGATTGCGCTCAGAAAAACCTCACGCGTCCCTGAGCCTGTCCTTGAGGCTGTCCGGAGAAAAACTTTCCTTGAACTTTTCAGCAAGCACCTTTTTGGCGGAGTATCTCCAAACGAGCCATCGTCAGGGCACCGTGGTACGGAGCCCATCCAGGCGTGTCAGCTGATCGCAAACGAAGCACTGCAGCACGCTATGACCTGTGCCCAGCACAGCAACACTCATCATGTCAAATAGATCGCCACGTGTGGTCGCGCAGAGATGATAGATGAGTCGACCGATATACATCATAGCCGACGCTTTTCGTTTACGGCGGGCTAGAAGGTAATTGGACGCCTAAAAACAGCCTCGCAGGCCCTCAATGGCTGTTGACCTAAGATGTGGATCAAGTAGATCATCTCTGACAACCCGCTGACTGTTCACTTTGTCGGCAGACAAAGGCGGGTTTTGGCCCCATTTGCTGACCAATCAACTTGTGAGGCCCTGGACGGTTGCCGAACTCACTGCCCACCGATGAGACCCCTTTACCCTAACAGATTCTTTGAAGGTGCCTGCATCTAACAGGGATAATTAAGGAGCCCCCATGCACACTCTGATCTCCAATATGCGGCTGTGAACAGTAGGGCAAACGCCCCCGGAAACATGAGAAGAAGCTCGGCCAGTGAGACAACTTTGGCGGCGTTGGGTGAGAAATGCTTGCGGACGCGAGTGATATCGGCACGTTGATGTAACCAACACTTAAGTTAATGTAGACAGTCGCCTTTAGGAACCCACGCAAGCACTACTTCAACATCAACGTCAACAACTTCAACTCAGCCGTCAATCGGTTATCGGCGGACATCGGACTCAACTCGTCATCAGCTTCAACATCAACATTGCGATATCACGACGAAAGTCTGACAATTTAGAAGTCAGAACAAAATAACTTTCAACAAATTGTGTCTTTGATGATTGTGACTAAGGTAATGGGAAAGGTGCAACTACTCTTGATG